GCAGTCAGTAAGAGGTCTTACTAAATCCGCTTACAAAAGTCCACCATTGGAGGAAACTAAAAACAAAAAGTTGAGGTGAGATACAAGGATGTGAGATAGGTGAACGTACTAGGACAAGATAAGACAACATTTTAGATAAATTTCGTCAAGGAATGGATTGTAATTGTCTCTCTGACGAGAAGTAATTCGATGCGGTGAATGAAACTTATCACTGACGACGGCGGCGAAACGCCTGCTAATGTAGAAAGGTAGGGAACACAAGGCTGGGTACCTGATACAAAAGCTCTTCGTCACCATGACCAAGTAGAGAAAATGATGCTAAATTAACCCCAAGTTAAGAAGAGATAAGAATAGTATTTGTTTTGAGTAACATAAAGTAATAAAAGAATATAAGTTGAATTACTTCGCAATTATTAGAGGCCTCACGATACCAGTAATTTGCACTTAATTAAATTACGCATGGCAAAAACCGGGTTCAAATCCCGTTAGGAATGAAAATGTGACCCGATAGAGATCTAAATTACAGTCCACAATGGATGAGAATAGCTTTGAGAAGCAAAGCTAGGTTAAACTCAATGTAATCATGAGAATAATTCATATCATCCTAACTGACACTACTTAATCACTTTATGCGATCTGGGGTGAATACAGCTAATATTCAAAATATGTTTGTAATTTGAAGCCCAGTCAATTGGTATGGTAAAAAGAAGTATTAGCTCACTTAAGAGATGTATTTTCCTTTAAAATGTGGACTAAGGATTATACGGACATAAAACCAAACTTAGGAACCCTTCAAATAGAGAATGAATTTAAACGTTAAGACTCTAAGAAGCGGAGGGACATAAAAAGAGTTTTAATGCTAATTGCAGACGTATTAGTAAAGTTGCCGTAATATCAATGAGTAAGAACATACTAGGCATTCAAAGCAAGCCGAGATTATGAGTGGAATAAGTCTAAGCAGATTCACTTTTAGGGCTACGTAGCCTATACATGAAGAGCACCTATGCCACACTTGGCAGGTTTAATGATTAGACACAAGGGCTTGCAATAGTATCATGCTCTGTTTTCAATTTAGTAAATATACATGACAAAATGTAAGGATAACTTAGTGGAAGGGATATAGGTAACCCGTAAATTGTTCGCGAGATATATGAGCTATTGCCATGCTATTTGGCAGAATCGTAGTAATAGTTTAGATCATTTTATCTTAGCTAAATAGCAGAATAATAAAATTAAGATTACGTAATTAGATAATACCAATACAAACATTTACGGAATTTTTAGTAAAAAAACAAAGTAAGTATA